TTTCTCCAGGAGGTTGTATATACTCTAAAGCAGCATCCAATATATGCTGCTGTTTCTCCCATAGCCAGGACTCATGGGTCCAGGAATCAAGGGGTGGAAACAGGGGTGGCACCACTCATTATTACTCCTAGTGTCCCACTTGCAAGATTTTTGCTTCTTGTCCCTGCGACCTTATGCTCTGTGAATCTAGAGGTCTTAGTTCCAAAAGCAGGAATACTCCCACCTGGAGATACATCACTGATTCCACTGAACTGGAAGCTAAGAATGCCACCTGGCCACTTCAGGCTCCTTGTGCCTCTGAATCAATGGGCAAAGAAAGGAGCTACCATACTGGCTAGTGTGATTGATCCTGATTACCAAGAGGAAATGGATTGATATTACATAATGGAGGTAAAGAATACTATGTCTGGAATGCAGGAGATCCCTTAGGGCATCTTTTAGTACTACCATGCCCTGTGATTAAAGTCAATGGGAGACTACAGCAACCCAATTCTGACATGACTCCTAATGGCCCAGATCCTTCAGGAATGAAGGTTTGGGTCAACCCACAGGCAAAGAACCATGACCAGCTGAGTGCTTGCTGAGTGCAAAGGGAATATGGAATGGGTGGTGGAAGAAGCTAGTTCTAAATACCAGTTACGTCCACATGACCATGCAGAAATGAGGACTGTAACTTATTTCTGGTTTGTATGTGTGCATCAAATATTTTTGTTTTCTGCACTTAATATGGTGTAACAGGGCTAGTGTAATTTTGGTTGTATGTGTGTTCTATCATGTTAGGTGCAAGTACAACTTTATAATTCTCTTTATTCAGAGATTATGTATGGTTTAAAGAGATGTGTACATGTGCCTAGTTGACAAGGGGTGGACTGTGTTGGTTAAGATTGTGTGTCAACTTGGCTGGGCCATGATTCTCAGTGGCTGGGCAGTCATATGATGTTATCACTTCTATGAGATTTGATATAATGTGATCACTTCCATGATCGGATCTGCTGTGAGTAGCCAATTCTTTGAAAAGGAGTTTCTTTGGGCCTGTGGCCAGCATCGAATATAAGAAGACATTCTGGCAAGGCTTGTGGCCATTTTCTCACACTGGATCCTGCAGCTGGGTCTTGTTCATCTGACCTCCAGCTGTTGGGACTTGACCTAGCTGCTTACCTTTAGTCTTGCCCGCTGATCTTGGGATTCATCAATCATTGCAGCCTGTGAGCAAGAGCTCTGCTCTCTGACCTACCGATGTTGGGATCGTCAGCCACCGCAGCTACATGAATCAGGAGAAGCCTCTATCCTGACCCACGGACTTGGAACATTTCAGCTATTTCCTGCATGAGCCATTTCCTTGACATAAATCTCTATGTAAATCTTTATAAATATATAACATACATAAATATATATTATATGTAAATCTCTCTCTCTCTATAAATATATATAGGCTTTACTGGTTTTGCTTCTCTAGAGAGCCAAGTCTAAGCATCTCACTCTCAAATGGTTCAGGAAAAAAAATCATATGCACAAACACAAAGAGAACATGATAAAGCAAATGCGGTAAAATGTTAAAAACTGGTAAGGGTAATTGGGAGTTGTTTGTACTATTCTTTCAAACTTATTGTAAACATGAAGATATTTCAAAATAAAGAGTTACACAAAAATGATGACATTGGATTCAGAGAAGAGGCAAGATCAGAATCAGAGAAACCAGTCAGGAGATTTTTGCAGATTATTTGTAAAAGATGATGACTACAGGAGAAATGAAGAGCAGTAACTAGGTTCTAGAGCTATTTAGAAGGTAAAAGTGATAAGGATTAACAACAGACTGGATATTGGGGTGAGAGGGAGAGGGGTATATCTAGGTTAACTCCAAGTTTTCTGGCTTTTATAACAGGATGTCATTCCCTAAGACAGGGAACTGTGGGGGTCTAGGAGGGTCTGCTCTCCTCTTTTGGACCAAGTCTGAAGATGAATTCAGTTTTAGGCATGTTGAGTTTTGAGGTGTCTTTAAAGGTACAACTTAAGAGGGAAACTGAGTAGCCATTTTGGAGATACAAATCTGGAATTCAGAAGAGAATTATTAGCTAAAGATATTCATTTTTAAGTTATCATTTAAATAGTTACTGAAGCCATAAGCATTTATCAAAAATCTTGATAGAGACTATGAAGGCCAAGTACTGAACTTGAAAAATTCCAATACGTGATGGCCAGTGAGAAGAAGATGAATCTCTAAAGTAGATAGAAAAGATAGAATCAGAGAAATAAGAGGAAAAACCAGGAAATGTATTATCAGAAAAGCCAGTACTGCTGAATGGTCAAGTAAGATGAGGACTGACAAATGCTAGTCATATTTAATGACATGGAAGTCATCTGTGACCTCAGTGAAGGCTGCTCTGGTATAGTGCTGACTAGAGAGAGCTTAGGAATGCTGAAAGAGAAAGAAGGGTTGACAGAGGGTTAAAAAGTGTGTCTGCATGTGATTTTTAAACTGTAAGTTAAAGTGATTGAGCATATTTAAATGGGAAGGGCTGAGTCAAGAAAGAAAAGTTTATAACTGATAGTGAAAGGACTCTGAGACAATGGGAAGGGATGGGATCCAGAGCAAGATAAAAGGATTCATTCATACAACATGTTACCACAGGCTAAGACATGTTCTAGGTAGGCAGTGGGGATACAATGGAGAACAAACAAAATCTCTGCACTTTTAATACTTTTATTTCCATGGAGAAGAAAAACAATAAATTATGTGTGTGCATATATACATATACACATATACATATATAACGATAAGTGCTATGAAGAAAAATAAGGCGACACAGATAAGGATAAAGTGATACAGAGGAACAGAGAATACTATTTTAGACAGAGAGGTCACAGAAGGCCTTGCTGCTCAGGTGACATTATCAGGTGACACTGAAGCAGAAACTTATGTGCCATGATGATAACTGGAGAAATAATCTTCGAAGCAGAGGAAATGGGTCGTTGAGGCAATTTTGTTTTAGAAATACCAAGAGGGCTAGGGCTAGTGTGGATGAGGAGGAGTGAACAAGAGAAGGAATAGTCAGAAATGAGACCGAAATAGCCCATTCATGTACGGCCATGAGGTAAGACATTGGAATTTACTCTAAGTGTAACGGGAAACCACTGGAGGGTTAAGATTGGGGGGTGACTTGAGCTTATTTATGTTTCAAAACGGTCTTTCTTGCTGCTGTGTGCAGAACAGCCTATGGAAGATAACAGCAGACATACGGAGACCAGTTAGGAGGCAAGTATAATCCAGATGATGGTGGCTTAGCCTGGGGTGGCAGCAATGGATGTGAACGCAGAGCCAAAGCATTTGCTGATGGATTGGGCATAAGGTATAAAAAGAGAAGAGCTAAGGACGTCTTCAAGGTTTCTGGCCTGAGCTACAGAGGATACTTTTTACATGGAACTATTTGGTTTACCAATCACCCCACTAGTACAACTTCCCTCTGAGAATACAACAATGTCAAGGGGAAGAGAGTGGAAGTGGATTATAGTACTGAGCCAGGGCTGTGAGAATAGAGAAAATAGGCAGAAAAAAGAATGAGCAGGAAAGGAAAAACATGTAGCTGGGAATGTCAAACCCATTCTGATTTTCATCACCTACAAAATCCATCATCCCACAGAGCAAGTTAGGCCCCCTTTGTCTGCCCTCATAAAAAAACCCGTTCCCATCGAGTCAACCGCGACGCATAGCGACCCTATAGGTACCTTTTACTTACTTTTCTGGTAATTGCATCAAGTACGTAGTTGTATTCTTATCACAAGCCAAAAAATCTTCAACTGTGTAATGTCCTTCTCCCCTAATAGACTGTAAGGTCCATAACGGAACTTACACGTTCACATTTGTATCCCCTGGTTCAGAACAGTGTAGATTCTTAACAAACACTAAATGAATGAATGTTCTAATCTTTGAGAGGAAACAGACAATAGTATCAGATTATTTTAATTAAAAATAATCTGTAAGGCATTTTTGTTAACAAATGTCTGTGATGCCTACAGTTCCTGAATGACTACAGATACATTATTTTTACTCTTTTGCATAATATGTGTAAAATGGTAAAAGTATTTTTAAGTGTTGGGTATAATTTTAACTGAATTACATCAGCTTTGCATAAAATATAACCTAGAATTATCTCTGACCTTTCTCTATCAAATTATCATTTCCCTATCTCAGAAAAATCAATGGTTGATTTAATAATTTTTCCAGGTAATTCACAGGATTATCACCATGAATAATCATTGCATAAAGTGATGTCTTCAGGAGTGACTTGGCTATATTAGATGGTGTACCCAGCCTGCTATGCTTCTAAGCTCTTAAATCTGCTTTAGATAACTTTTCTATCTCCCCTCTTTTACGTGATATCACTTTTTGCTACTGTGAGTATATTTGCTTCTAAAAGTTAATCACTTCTCTTATAAATTGCTGCTTCTAAATAGCAGCAAGCCGTGGAACCAATTTCACAAGATAATGGTTTAGTAAGAGTAAACAGTGCTGACTGCAGGCTTAGGATAATCTATCTGTTCTAAGATATGGACTCTGGCTACATCTATGATTCTATATCTGAAGTTGATTAGTACAAAAATAATGCAAAGATAACTATCTAAAAGAAATGTCAGACTCTATGATGTCAAGTCTCTGCAAAGGCAGTTAAATGATTCTAAAATTCAATTCTTGGGCTTATCAGTTGACCATTAGCTCTTACATGAATACCAAGAAAGATGAAATACATATGACCTCACTTACACTGAGTAGTTGTAGGAACATTTTACAGAAGCTCAGAATAAGTTATAATAAAGAAGTCAATCAATAAATCAATAGAAACTTTCCATCAATCCAACCAAAGAAAATTATTTTGATAAAGAATATTTTTAAGAGAACAAAGTATACTATGACAACATTCAAGGTACTGGTAATCTTTATACTAACAGGTATCATTTTCAGCAAACTAAAGCTCATTTTTCTCTTGGGATGCATCAGTACATACCTTTGAACAAGCGGCAAAGGAAGGAAATTGAGGGTGGAAGTCATGTCCAAACCACAGTCCAACATAATGGTGGTTGATTTGAATTTGAGTACATTGCATGGTAAGGTTGGGTGCCCTGACAGGCAATACTGAAAAAGATCAAATCATTTTTATCAATCATCAATTTTAGAAAAAGCTTAAAAAGTAAGTAAAACTGATAATCTTTTCTCATAAGAAGAGTGTGCAAATTCAGCTAACTTTAAATGGCTTCCTCCTTTTATTGCTCAGGGTGCCACTTCCCCAACAGATCAAAATACTCAAAAGTCTCAGATCACATCCAACTCTTCAAAGAAGTAATTCTTCTGAGAAGTAATTAAATGACCGAAACTGAAAAGTCAAATATTTGATAAATGACTTGTTTTGAAAGACAGTGTGATAAAATTATTTAGAGCAGAGTTTATTTCTTTTTTAATCCTTTTTTAAACTGTGGTAAATATACAGTTAAAAAAACATTTGCCATTTCAACAATCTGTACATGTACAGTTTAGTGACATTAGTTATGTTTATCATGTTGTTCAACCATCACCCTTAACCGTTCGTGAATTTTCGCATCACCCTTAACAGAAGCTCAGTGTTCGCTAGGCATTGTGTCTTCCTTTTCCCCCTCCCTCTACCCTACGCAGGTAACCACTAATAAACTTTGATTAGAGCAGGGGTTTTGGCATAAGATGGCCTGAGCCCAAATTCTGGTCCTGCAAGTTATTAATGTATGATTTTGGGAAACTTACCTAATCTTGCTAAGATTCAGTTCCCTTACCTGTAAGACGTAATATTACAACCTACCCTCAGAGTTGTTGTGAGGACTAAATGGATTAATACAATGCCTGTATGTGCTCATTGTTGGTTGATGCAATTATAGAATCATTAAGGGTCTGAAGAGGTCACCTATATCTGGCAGGGATAATGCACAGGATTTTTTTTTTTTTTTAATTGTAGTTTAGATGAAGGTTTACATAACTAGCTTCTCATTAAACAGTGAGTACACATATTGTTTTATGATATCGGTTAACAACCCCATGACATGTCAACACTCCCTTCTCAACCTTGGGTTCCCTATTACCAGCTTTCTTGTCCCCTCCTGCCTTCTAGTCTTTGCCCCTGGGCTGGTGAGCCCCTTTAGTCTCATTTTGTTTTATGGGGCTGTCTAATCTTTGGCTGCAGGGTGAACCTCAGGAGTGATATCATTACTGAGCTAAAAGGGTATCTGGGGGCCATATTCTCAGGGTTTCTCCAGTCTGTCTGACCAGTAAGTCTGGTCTTTTTTTGTGAGTTAGAATTTTCTTCTGCATTTTTCTCCAGCTCTGTCTGGGAACCTCTACTGAGATCCCTTTCAGAGTAGTCAGTGGTGGTAGCCAGGCACCATCTAGCTGTACTAGACTCAGTCTGGTGGAGGCCATGGTAGTTGTGGTCCATTAGTCCTTTGGGCTAATCTTTTCCTTGTGTCTTTAGTTTTCTTCATTCTCCCTTGCTCCAGATGGGGTGAGACCAGTGGAGTATCTTAGACGGCTGCTCACAGGCTTTTAAGAACCCAGATGCTACTCACCGAAGAAGAATGTAGAACATTTTCTTTATAAACTATGTTATGCCAGTTGAGCTAGATGTTTCCCAAGACCATGGTCTCCACAACCCTCAGCTCAGTAATTCAGTCCCTCAGGGAGTTCGATGTGTCTATGGAGTTTCCATGACCTTGCCTTGTACAAGTTGTGCTGGCTTCCTCAGTATTGTGTACCGATTGACCCTTCACCAAAGTTACCACTTATCTATTGTCTATTTAGTGTTTTTCCATCCCCACCCCTCCCCTCCCTCGTAACCATCAAGGACTGTTTCTTTTTGTGTATAAACCTTTTCATGAGTTTTTACAGTAGTGGTCTCATATAATATTTGTCCTTTGTGATTGATTTATTTCACTCAGCATAATGCTCTCCAGATTCATCCATGTTGAGATGCTTCGCGGATTCATCATTGTTCTTTATCATTTCGTAGTACTCCATTGTGTGTATGTACCATAGTTAGTTTATCCATTCATCTATTGATGGGCATCTAGGTTGTTTCCATCTTTTTTGCTATTGTGAACAATGCTGCAATGAACATAAGTGTGCATATGTCTATTCTCGTGATGACTCTTATTTCTCTTGGACATGTACCTAGAAGTGGGATTGCTGGATCACATGGTATTTCTATAGCTAACTTTCTAAGGCAGCGCCATATCGTTTTCCAAAATGATTGTATCATTTTGCACTCCAACTAGCAATACATAAGATTTCCAATCTCCCCACAGCCTCTCCAATATTTGTTATTTTCTGTTTTTTTGATTCGTGCCAGTAATACCACGGTGAGATGGTTTCTCACTGTGGTTTTGATTTGCATTTCTCTAACGGCTAGTGATCATAAGCATAGTTCTTCAGGTGTCTGTTAGTTGCTTAAATGTCTTCTTTGGTGAACTATCTGTTCATTTACTTTGCCCATTTTTAAACTGGATTATTTGTCTTTTTGTTGTAGAGGTGTTATATTTTTCTGTAGATTTTAGAGATTAACCTTTTGTCAGATTTGTAATAGCCCAAAATTTTTTACCAGTCTGTAGGTTCTCTTTTTACTCTTTTGGTGAACTCTTTTGATAAGCATAGGTGTTTAATTTTTAGAAGATCACAGTTATCTAGCTTATCTTCTGGAGTTTGTGTGTTGTTAGTTACAGTCTGTATCCTGTTAATGCCGTGTATTAGGACCTCTAATGTTGATCCTATTTTCTATTCTATGAACTTTATAATTTTTGGTTTTATATTTACATCTTTGATCCATTTTGAATTAGTTTTTCTGTATGGTGTGAGGTATGGGTCCTGTTTCATTTTCTTGCACATGGACATCTAGTTTTGCCAGCACCATTTGTTAAAATGAGTGTCTTTTCTCCATCTGATGGACTTTGGGCCCTTGTCGAAGATCCGGTGACCATAGGTAGATGGATTTATATCTGGGTTCTCAATTCTGTTGCATTGGTCAAAGTATCTGTCATTGTGCCAGGACCAGGCTTTTTGACTACCATAGCTGTATAGTAGGTTCTGAGGTACTGTGAGTCCTCCTACTTTATTCTTCTTCTTCAACAATGTTTTACTTATTCGGGACCTCTTCCCTTTCCATATAAAGTTAATGACTAGTTTTTCCATCTCGTTAAAGAATTTATTGAGAATTTGGATCAAGGTTACGTTGTATTTATAAATTGCGTTGGGTAGAATTATCATGATCACAATGTTGCTTCTACCTATCCATGAGCATGGTATGTTTTTCCATTTATGTAGCTCCCTTTGGGTTTCTTGCAGTAGTGTTCTGTAGTTTTCTTTGCATAGATCTTTTACACTCCTGGTTAGATTTATTCCTAAGTATTTTATTTTTTTAGAGGCTATTATAAATGGTATTGTTTTCCTGATTTTGTTTTCATCATCTCTTTACTGGTGTATAGAAATCCAACTGATTTTTGTGTGTTTATCGTATATCTTGCTACTCTACTGAATCTTTCTATTAGTTCCAGTAGTTTTCTTCTGGAGTCTTTCTGGTTTTCAACATATAGCATCATATCATCTGCAAATAGTGACAGTTTTACTTCTTCATTACCAATTTACCCATTCCCGTCGAGTCGATTCCGACTCACAGTGACTCTACAGGACAGAGTAAAACTGCCCCACAGAGTTTCCAAGGAGCGCTTGGTGGTTTTGAACTGCCGATCTTTTGGTTAGCAGTCATAGAACTTAATTACTATACCACCAGGGTTTCCATTATCAATTTGGATGCCCTTTTTTCTTTATATTCTTGCCTTATTGCTCTAGCGAAGACTTCCGGCACAATGTTAAATAGGAGTGGTGATAAAAGGCATCCTTGTCTTTTTTCTGTTCTCAAGGGAATGTTTTCAGCCTCTCTCCATTAAGAATGATGTTGACTATTGGTTTTATATAGGTGCCCTTTATTATGTCGAAGAACTTCCCTTCTATACCCATTTTACTAAGAGTTTTTATCAGGAATGGGTGTTGGACTTTGTCGAATGCTTTTCTGCATTGATTGAGATGATCACATGATTCTTTTATTTATGAGGTGGATTACGTTGATTGATTTTCTCATGTTGAACCATCCTTGCAAACTTGGTATGAATTCTACTTGGTCATGGTGTATTATTTTTCAATATGATACTGAATTCTACTGGCTAGAATTTTGTTGAGAATTTTTGCATCTATATTCATGCGAGATACTGGTCTGTAATTTTCTTTTTTTGTGGTGTCTTTGCCTGGTTTTGGTATCAGGGTTATGCTGGCTTCATGCAATGAATTTGGAACCATCTCTTCCTTCCTTTTCTATGTTCTGAAATAGTTTGAGTAGCACTGGTGTGAGCTCTTGTCTGAATGTTTGGTAGAATTCTCCAGTGAAGCCATCTGGGCCAGGGCTTTTTTTTGTTGGGAATTTTTTAAAATTATGTTTTCAATTTCTTCTCTTATTATGGATCTGTTCAGATTTTCAACAACATTTTGTGTTAGTCTGGGTAGGCAGTGTGCTCTAGAAATGTGTCCATTTCCTCTAAGTTTTCAAATTTGTTGGAATATAGTTTTTAATAATACTCTTTGTTATGATCCTTTTTATTTCAGTTGGGTCTACTGTAATGTCCCCTAATGTACAGGATTTTATAGAACTTATATTCCATAGTGGCATTCACTAATGTCTTTGACATTTGTGTATCCCACAAAAATAGGTAAAGTGAATGAACAGTTTTACAAATATTGCATATTGCTAGTTTGCCCTCCGGGAATACAGACTCAATTCAGAGTGGCACCACTAGTGAGTGCAGAAGTAAATATTCTAGCTGGAATAAGGATTTATAATTTTTTCCCTAGCTAAAGCATTCAGCAATGCTTTCATGTTAATTTTATTTCTACTTTATAATAAAGATGTAGGTTTTCCTACGTGATAATTTAGTATCTATATTTTCTATATTCCTGTTGATCTCTTTCTTCCTCTGAGTAGAATTTGGTTCTGAAACTTTTATATGTTTAACATATATAGGCGCTGTCTATAATTTTTTGCATAAAATTTGACAGCTATACTTAGTATTTAT